TTCGATGCTCTGATACATTCAATTCTATTTCATGGAAAACACGCAAATTCATATTCATTCTTTATGTGCGGTGGAGAGACATGAGGGCGTTCAGAGTGCATAAATTATAATTCAGTTATGTCTGAAGCCTTCGGGAGGGGAGAGGAGAGGCTGGGATGGGTAAGTTGTTTGGAGTTTAGCTATATCGACGTTTCGACGCTGTAACGCGTTGTGGCAGTAGGTTTGAGCCCAACTGCCGGGTTTACCCCTAGCCCGTGGAGCGTTTGGGCCGTTTAAGCGCTTTGTGCGAGTCCAAGGTTTGGCGGCTTACCGTATGGCCGCTGCCTCTCTCATATGAAGTACTGGCTGACGCAGTAATTTTGAGTGTCTCGCTGAGCATTGGAATCGGAAACAAACAGCTGTCTGGACAGGCGAATGCCCAAAAAAAAGGCGCCTGGTCCTACATTAGTCAGGGCTTTCATTCTTCAAGTCTATGTAACCCAGCAGACGTCGACTGACACGCAATACGGTACAACTCAGGTTAGCGTAATTAAGAGATCCGGGTTGATAATCTGAGGAGAATGAATTGCTCACCGGATCGAGGGACTTGCATGGCTGACGTTTCGAAGATGTGGGCGGCTCTCCATTATCAAAGTGTCCTGTGAAAAATCAATCTGGATTTTGAATGGACAGCCGGATGAGTTGGCTCTGGGCCGATCAATTTTTTTCTCTCTTCTTTCGCTGCCTTGACCTACCGGCCGTCGCCTGTGAGTGTTGGTGGCCTCATGTACTGTGTGTCGTCACCTCAATTGGAGTTATTTGCGTTTGGGCCCTTCGTTTGGGTGAGTTGGTCGACAGGCTGTGTTTGCTCGGTAGTCTTATGCTCCGTATGACAGTCTTGTCTTTGTCACGGCTTGTGTGATAACGCAATCCTTTAAAGGCCGTAGGAAGGTCTAGATGCCTGTTGATGGAGTTGACATCAGAGTACCGAGCCTCAAGTGTGAGACGCTCTGTCCTTGGGACACCCTTGCCTAAGGCGGCTGCCCCTTGAAAATCAAAACTGTCACCAGTTTCCCCGATGTGAGCCGCAAGCTGCCAGTTTGGTTCTAGTCTCCGAGTTGCCAGTTTTTGCTCATGTAGGCGGGTCTGCAATTTCCGTCCGGCTTTCCCGACGTAGTTGCAGTCTTCATCGTTACAACCTATTTGACAGACAACTGCTGAGGTTTCAGTGGGTGGTAGTAGGTCTTTTGTTTGCATCAACCGGCGACGAATTGTTGCCTGGTGTCGATTGCAATGCCTAGACTGGCGGGTTGTGACAGTCGTGAAACCGCCTCGGGTACTCCATCAATGTAAGGAATAGCTCTCCAGACTTTGAGTTGTTCATCTTGTGGCCGTCGTCTTTTGACCTCATTCCACATTACGATATACTTAATTGTTAAGTCGCCTCAAATTCCTTAACCATCTCCTCTATCTCAAGAAATGTTTCAGCGTCTGCATTCTACAGTGGTTGCACATAACACAAATTATTCCAGAATCAACCGATATGACTTATTCCACATTCTCTCGCTTCCTTCTTTAATTTCGCTCCAGTATAGTTTAATTGCTTATGTTTTATGGTCTGTTTACCCATTCTGTTAAGCAGTTTCCATATAGTGCATGATTCTGCAAGTGAATTCAAGTACGACAAACATGTACGGCGTTCATTTGATTTAGACGTCCAGAGTTAAAAGGACTTAATGCAGTTTCTTTGTAAATAACTGAGACTTTCATAGCAAAAGTTAAATTAATACATAAAATTATCTTTTCATACAATGGGTCTGCAGTCTATGGCCTTGAGTATGTATCATACAGACAACAAAACCTTAGCTTAGTGCAAAGCAGATAATCATCTCGTGTTCATCCTCATTAATACTAATGTCCATTCTTTTTTAGAGGCATGCTAGGAAGACTGTGGCACGTTAGATTAAATTGGTATAACAGCACGTCCGCAACGCTTCCGTTGCCATCAGGCGACAGGTTTGCAGGTGGCTCTATGCCTAGCAGTTTATGCGAAGATGTTGAAAACATGTGAAAATATTGAAACACATGGGTCTCGTTTGAGATGGGTTGCCTTCACAAATACTACAATTGAAGAATGCGTTCAATAGCGAGGAGACAGTGCCCACTTTAGTCTAAAACAAACTGCGGAGGTACGACTTTACTAGCTGCTTTGTGTGGTCTACAGTCACTTATAGACAATACAAAGTTCAAGGTACTCTTGAAGGAGCGCGATTGTTGGTGATTGCGTTATGCAGACTGCATGCGCTAGGTGTCGTGCTCAAAACACACACACGTCACATCAACAAATGCATATTTGCGAGGCTACTGAATCAACCTAAGAGACCACAAATACATGCATCAGGAAAGTGTCTTCTACTATTACCTGATCTGCTAAATAAGTTTTCATGAATAATAGACGCCCGAGGGCGATTGCTTGGCCATCAGGATCGCAAAGGTTTAGACACGTGATGGGTAGAATGCAACTACAACTCGCGCTTGAAGTTCACGATTGTAAAGCCGGCATCTTCTCGCGCGCCGAGAATGCGACTGGAATTGAGCCTGGGTGTACTGGCTGAGACTTAATTATACACGACCCAATGTACAGGTTTTGCAGTTATAGTTTGGACTTAAACTTGTGTAGAGCAATGCAGATTGCGCAACGCTAGGCTGATCTCTTCAGCACAACTGCAATGCAGCTAGTGACAAGCTCCGATGGAATTTTTAAAGTATTTTCATCACATTATTCCAAAATGTGTACACATATACTCAATGTCAATAAGCCCAGTAGTTTTCGTTCCTCTGCAATCAGCAAATTTTTAGCAACATCAGGGATGCCTTTTATTAGAAAATATAAATTGCCTCAAATTCAGTCGGTCCATGGCTCTGTCGTTCTCGGGTTTCCATTCCGCTATTCTTCGTAGAACAGGAACATGCGTTTTCGTGCGAGCAAAATTAGCTTCCCGTAAAACATGTCGAGGACTAATTGCGCGGCGTAGACAGATTTGGCTCTTAGCCACCTCCGTAATATCCCAAATGGACAACGTGGTTATAGTGTGAATCAAGGCACTAACTGCTCTTCCAAATCAGAGCTTGTTTTACTGAATGCAGGGCGGACTACTCGGGTTTCATTTGTGCGCGATTATTGGCTGTTGGGGTGTATAAAAGTAGAAGAGTAGAACTTCGTGCAAGCGTGGTCGCTTGCAAATGTTTCGCCAACTATTACTCCTAATCATTGTCCAGGGCGTGTTTGGAAAAGGTAAAAATATTTTAAGCCATGTAGCATGGGCATTTAACGACTTGCAATTATATTTTAAAATTTAAACATATATGATTATTATAGTGTTTGTTTATGTGGAACGGAATTGCAAATTCCTCATTTATGTCGGCTTACCAGTGAATTTACTATCTTAGTGATAGAAAGCAAACTGGATTTCAAACAGGACAGCGACTACGTCTACACAAAAATGCTCTATGTGGACGTTGAGGTAATAAGCGTTAACTGGATGATTTCATGAAACACTGTTATGTCTGAATTAACCGTGTTCCTTTGCAGTATGTGACCGTGGATGACGTGAATATTTCGAGGCCGGAAAATGGTTCAAACTGTGTTGCACCCAATGACTGCTGGCAAATTGTTCAACGTAAGCTGTGGTTTCCGTGTTATTCAATCAAGCATGTCATAAAATGTGTCGCTTGCCCCATTTGAATAGACGAAACAGCATGCCTGACAGACCGAAGGACGCATTTAACAGAGTCAAACCTTCACTTAAACGGACCAGCAGCACTGACTTTTATGTCCCCCCCGCCCTGAACAGGACATGGGCGAAGGAACAGCCTGCAATACGGGTGGCTGTTGGCCAACGTCCAATAAAATTACCGTTAGACTAAATTATTGAGTTGGGGTTGTGTTAGGATAATGTTTAAGTGCAAATGTAGACATTTGCTGGTCTTAAGTATGGAATTTGGGTTTAGGCTGGAGTTAGTGCTGTTTAGTTTATCATTAGATTGAGGACAACGGAATATTTGGTTATTTGCGAAATAACGCGCAGTCCTGCATTTATTACTTCGCCGGGGTGCATCTATTCTCACGTTCTGCTTGCGTGGCTACATAAGTCAATCCCACCAATAAGCTTCCTTATTATCCGGTTATTAAAAATTGTGGTTTTGTAAATTTTCGAAAAATTTCGTGTCGGGAAATTTGGATTTCGCCGTCAGGTGAATGTGATTGATTTGAATATGCTCTAAAACCTCGCTGGAATTGCAAAGTAACGCAAATTAATCGGAATAATTGTGCTCGAGGATCCTTTATATATCAAATAACTATGAGAGCCTGCTTAAAATATGGACCAAGTTGCTCCTTTGATCTACTTCCGACGATGACCTGCAGAGCCATTTTTGAAACTATGAAGTAGAGCGCTTTTTTCAAAGGCTTCATGTGGCAACAGAGTATATATCATGGGATGTATTTTATGAGTCCGGGTTTGACCATTGGAGCTGTACTCAAAAGAGCTTGTGTTCGGATTTCAAGTGCCTCCAAATCTGGGATTGGTCAAGGCTGACAGGCGAAGTCCACTAAGTCAGAATTCATCAGTATTCACTCTCCGCGTAAAACACTAATATCAGCGCGACAGTAGACACAGTAATGTGATCGGTGAACACCCATTCATCATAAATGTGTATGCAGACCTTCGATATAAATAAGTTCCCCTAATTTCCTCCTTCATAAATTGCAATCATTTTTTTCTTTGCAAGCCGATGAATACGTAATTGCCAACGACTACCTGAAGGGAACGCATGTTGCATTCACGGTTTAGCCAAAGGATTTCCCCAAAAGAAGCAGAGTTGTAATTCAGTATTATAAAAAGGGCACGCAACCTAGTAAGTCAAGACAATTATTCTTCTTACGCTGCCTGATAATACGCAATTCACTTTCCTATTTCCAGTGGCTATGTAGTCCGTGTATTCATTTGAGTTCTAAAACTATGCAGGCTGCCCAGTGGACGGAAAACTTGCTTCGACGAGCAGCGTGCGTATTGCAATTTCAGTTTAAATCACATACCAAGAAATCATATTTCTTGTCTTCGAATAAAAAGAAGTGTTCTTTCTGAGATTTGATGGGCTTTCTGACTTATTGCTTAACTAAACTACATGTTGTATCTTCTCTTCTAGATGTGGTGTCCAGTACTGAATTAGTTTCCGTCTTTACAAAAGAAGTCCTCGAAAAAGAAAAAATTGTTCACATTCTGCTCTTTAGTGGGGGCATTCGGGTAAATATTATAATATTGAAAACATATCATCATAAGTGCATTGCGAGAAGGACGTTTTCAATTGTCATTATTAATTAGAACTAATGTTTTAATGTGAAATATATTGGAGGTTGCTTGCATCTTTAGCATATTCCGCATGAAGTTGTCAAATGTGTTGAATAAGACACGAGCGGTAATTGCCATTCTGCGTTTCATTATTTTATCGCTCATGATAACAGCCTCATAGTTCAGACATCGGTCGAGTTTAAACAATGAAAAGGGCATCAGTTTACTTAAATTCGACATTAATTTGTCAACGAGGCGGTAGCACATGTGCCCCCATATAAATTAACATGGATCATACGTGCAAGCCGCGGCGTTCTCAAATAATGACCTCTGCAAATGTCGCTTAGTGCTTAGCTGATGTAATCCACATCTAGTCTACATGCCTCCGTCTTAGCAAAAGAACATTTATATGTGGAAAAGGCGCTTTTACAAAACCGCTGTGCTGATTACTTTTCAGAATGTAAGCTTCTTGGAAAATATGTCGCCAGAGAAACAACATTTCCGTATGATATCTCGTTTGGGAACACAGGTAGGTGTTAGTTTACATCATTGTGCTAGTTTTTACAGGATATCTTAACCGTATCTATTTTCCGTTCAGCAGTGCGCACCATTCCAGTTGTACTCTTTACTGGGCATTTGGAGACGAAGCCTCGACTACTGAAAATTAAGTTTACGACCGGCAGAGAGGACCAGATTACAATTACTCCCTCCAATAAAGCCGAGGCGACGGTGCCAATGCTGACGTTCATCGACTATGTCAACGCCTTCAGGTTGAAGTAGAAGAGCCCTCAGGTGGTGCATGCAATTTTGGTCATGGTTTAAGGTCAAAGTGTGGTTCTTGGTAGTATGTAATTTCAAATACATGGTGTCTGCTTTTGACTTCGAGTATTCTGCCTTGTTTGTCAAATGTGCCCCTAAGGTATTTTAGATACGTAAATCATGTTCATGCCCACCTTAAATGGAACACGGACACGAATGGTTATCTGAATACACACCACCCTAGAGAGAGGCGAGGTCGTTTAACAGGGAGGCATGAAAGTCACCAGATAGAAGTGGTTTCTTTTGTTCAGAAACTTCGCTGCTCTCTTACTAAGAAATGCGCGCTATCTAAGTCAGCAAGGAGTGCGCCTGGTTGAGTTAGGATACTACAGCGTGTTTTCCGTCGATGTGCGCACACGTTTAAAGTCACAGGGCGTAGATGTGTGTACCCTTTTGTGTGTGTGCTGGCACTTAAGGTGGTCGACAGACACAAATTCGTGAGAACGCGCATCTCAGGTCAGAAAGCCGGAGACTCGCGTAGCTAATTAGTCCCCCAAGAAGCTCGCGACCCATGCGATTGTCAGCTCTAGTGAGAACTACAACCTCTAATTAATAGCACTCCTGCCGTATTTCCAGCCTTTTCGCGTTTTCCCCGACACACTTTTCTTTTCTGCAATCATTCCAGTTCGGTTAAACAGCCCCTGGCTTTTCTTGCCATGACAGTGGATCTCCTGGCCTCAGTATCTGACGCCTGATGGTTCCTTCTGATTTGAATACAACTCCAAACTCAAGTGAGATGAGGAGGAGTTTTTCGGCTTCTAAAATATCCTTAATACACGGAGGTTACCAATAAGAAGCTAAATGAAAAGCAGATGAACATTCGACTGTGATAAAAGCGTAATACGTACGAAACAGCCCCAGACCAATCAACCGTCCTAAAACAAAAAGAGGCACGATGGCCGTTGCAATCGTCAACCATAATGGTTTGCGAATGAGCTTCCGGGTCCTTCATGGCCACTTCACGTACTGACATATAGCATGATCATACCAAATCTGGGTCGTTCTGCAAATTGCGAAACAATAATCCACGTGGAATGTAATGTTAAAATCGTAGTGTGTTAGAACATAAAAGGCGTCCGATTTGTCGATTTTTTTGGTAATTGCAACTTCCAAGTACAGTGCGCGGCACAATTTACGATTCTCCATGGGAAAGGAGGTTTTTCCTGCGATTTGTATTGCTATGTGTTGTGGAATGTGGAATTATTTTTTCTTACCCGCAGTATATGTGCATTAGGCGGCATACTTTGTTGCTTAATGTTAAATGGCTCGCATAAGCTGCGGGCCTAAATGATTTCGTTCAGTTGCGCGCAAGGAATGAAATTGAAATACAGTCGGCGGTAGTACGAGTCAACGTCGCTTGTCTCCTCTTCTGGAGGCTCCCTGTTGCAGTGGTTGCATAAATTGAAGGAGCTGCTAAACGCGAACTTGTGAGAGATTTCCGGCAGAATAAACTCTTGGTGCTACTGCTTGTCTTTGCTTGTCCGGTAAGTGTATACAGCCATCGGATGTAGACACATTGCATATTGACATGGAGATTTGGACTCATTTAAAAAAACTTCGTTAAGGCCACTACATGACTACCGTCAAAACTCTATGCCAAAACGTGTTACGTATCGCATGTCAAGTTTATTAGCCTGATGCTTGAAGTTGTGTTGTAAAACTAATCATGGCTTGATGCTTTGAATTCCCACTCGAACCCACCATCAGAGATAGTCGTAGATATAGGAAGTGGAGGCATGTTGACTGCCTTCCCAGTCCACTTGAAGTTAGTATTGCACTGAGGTCGGAAGCGACCATCAGACGCTAATTCATGAGGATGAATGACCCACTGCCACAGCAGAACACGTCTGGAGACGTTTACCGAATGGTTCTGCACGCAGCAGCGGTGAGGTAGCAGGCTATTCCACGGAACCCGATCAAATTTTCCAAGTTCAAGAGGCCGAAATCCTCTCATGAACTGAAAACCGCGTGAGCCGCGAGATGTTCGAATCGTGGCTCTCAGGCCCAATGACCTCCCCGCAACATATGCAGAGCCGAGACATACCCTGAGCAAGGGAATCCATTACGTGGAGAGGGCGCGGGTGCTCAAATATCCTGGTGACAGCAGGAGGGATTGCTGACTGATCATTACGTCAACATCCAACACGGATGACAAAATTGCGGCAATTACTGACTGGGACGTGGACTGACGAGCCATCATCGCCTTAATTACGATGCAGCGGCACGGCAGTAAGAATGTGTGTAGTCTGTATACACAACACGGAGTTGTCGTCTTAGGCGGCAGTGGTTACTGGCGAAGTCAGGGCTTGTGTTGCCTACGTACAGTCGATGTGCTAACTCATGAAATGTCAACCAAATTTTCGAAATGAGTTCTCGTTTTGAAAAGACAAATTAAGTAGTGTTGTAAAACTAATTACGATGCAGCATAAATCTATAATGATCCAGTTACCTCAGAGTGTCGGCTATCGAAAGAATTTATTTTCGGCTGCATGCGAGATCGATACTCTGCAAAAAGTGACGAAATATGTAGTACGCACATTTCTCATTGATTTTCGATGCCCTTAAAAATTCAATTATATTTCCTGGAAAACATCGCACAATAAGAAACTTGTTGAAAACCGAATTATATTGTTTGAGCATGGAATTAGAAGAAGACGTGATTTTCTACCGAATAAGTAAAAGAATTAATATTTGTATGCAGGTTTTCCATGAAATATAATTGAATATTTAAGGGCATCGAAAATCAATGAGAAAATTGCATGCTACGCATTTGCTTTCACGGGATGCCTAGGTATACATTTGATTTTTTTTGCAATAGACCATGGAAAAGCAGAGCACGCGATCAAAGTGCGGTGGAATAACGTCAGATCTAAATTTTTGCCTCATTCAAAGGGACCTGCCCACACAATAAAGTTTGACAAGGTCGAGCTGCTTGTGATGGGCGTTGATCGCATCTTCTATGAACTAATCCAGTCATAATCTACTAACTTTCGGGCCATTAGCAAGCACAACGACCGCTTCCTCCCATATTTTATGCTGAGATGGCTAGTAATGAGTCGAAGGCAGCGCACTAACCGCATTCTCCCATATTTAATGCCCCTTGTTCATGCACTAGGGCGTTTTGAACTTACATAACATCACTATCGATAACAAGACTAAGCATTGTTGCAACAAGAAGTTATATCGGGAGTCCAATAGCATAGCCCATGAGATTTACATCACCCAATCTACAGGATTCAAAAAACGCACACGAGGCCGAGACGATCCACCCTACTTCTGCGCAGGTTTCCACGTGGCAACTGGAGATACGATCGATGTAAATAAGGAAGATGCAATCCCTGAAGCAGGATGTACATTGGCCTGACATTTCGGATTGTCACTAGAACCCACCATGAGAGGCAGTCAAAGAAAAGGGGATATAGAAGCACAAGGTACGCAGTATACATACGGCCCAGTTGCCAGGCAACCATGTGCCTACTATAGTTGGCAGTACACGACTTCATCGCTTGGCGTCTTAGATGATGCGGAGATAGCTTGTCGGCCCATATAGGGGCGTCAGTTATCGTCAGTACATAAACCTTGCTGAGCATTAGCATTGCGATTTGTCGTCAGTTTGGCTCGCTGTTACCGTGACTGTTTTTCATCCACACACAGACAAATTCACAGCACAGAATATGGAAGCGGGAAGTCACTGCACTTGGTAATTCATTGTGGGTTGACGCTCGGATACTGTGTTTCGGGATATGGTAGAAATTGCTTACAAATTGTGTTATCTAAACCATAAATGTTCAAAATTCTCACCGTCTTATGATAGATGAAATGAAAGACTAAAATTTTAAGACGAATCTCCCGAATGCTCTCTTCGGCCGCTGAGGTTTCTTATCTCTATTTAGTGGATATAATCGTTCAACGACATATCCAATCGGTCAAGCAATTTGCTGGTCGGATTATAGATGATCTTGTCCAATCCCTGCATTCTGATCTTATTTATGCGAAGTCTTTCCGCCCGATGCGCCGGGGCTTCCGAACTATCTCAGGTTGCACATCTGAAGATTGCGATTCTGTATTCCCGTTCCTGGCACACAATCTTATGCGTAAAGAGATAGAAATGCAGAAGCTAAGATTCGAAACCTCCCTTTAATAATCGCTCCTTTTATTTGAGTCCTGTTCATTCTTGGATAATTTATTAAGCTGTTTACTGTTCATACTGAATTAAGCCCATTTTTACTAAAAATATTGAATATATGACTTCAAAATAAAGCGCTTTTTCTCTTGTCTACTAATGTAGTGTGTGATTAAATTGCTATCGGTATGGCTGCATATTACTAAAATATTTTAATTTATTTAATCTGACGTGATCTTATAATGTTTAAACTATGCAGGACAATTCTCGACGCGACAACCCCACATAAAATCGGTCCTAACCCAAAACAAACTTCATTTTTCCATTTAATATTCTATGAGTTAGGAAAAATGGTGCACATTCATGTTCATGCGATTTATGCTGATTTATGTGCATATGATCTCTATGATAAAAAAAAATGAAATGTTTGCTTTACGACACCATGGATGGACCTTCGGCAGTCTTGGAAATGTTTGGACCGTTTACAGATAAATACGATAAGTAGAACGTATTTGTTGACCCAGGTATATAGAAAAATCACTAAACCCTTAATTAGAACGATAAATATTTCAACATATCCGTAAAGCTCATGCCCGACGCATAATCGATGTCCAGGCAAATTTCAGTTCTTGTGCATATCTCCATATCAGATAAAACGATGACTGAGGATTGCGGCCTGGGAGTTTGCAATTATGTTGATTTCAATATATGTACCTACTGGTTAAGTGACTGTTCCGGCGTCTCAAGTTCCTGACCGCTGAGGGCAACACCTGGCGATTGGAAACCTTCGCCCTTCGGGAGGCCTCTACGTATTCGCAGATCCGGTTTCTGCACAGGTGTCTTGACAATAATGTGTTGCCGAAATGTGTTTCATACAAGCCACCGGTTAACACGGATTTGGCGAGACGAGCAGTATTTCAGCACGGCAGAAGGATGATCCGAGTGCTCCTCCAAGATTGCCACGCGAGACTTCGTAAGTACCGTCAAAGGATTGACCAAGAAAAAACCAGATGCTGTGAGCTCATGGGTGAAATCGGTACTAATCTGCTCCGGCGGAGGATAGCTGAACAAGCCCGCGAACAGAGCACGATACGCGACGAAGCACTGGAGAACAAATTTCGAAAGCTGCCCAATCCAACGTCGCCCAGAAACGACAAACGGGTGCACAACCTGTCATCAAAGGAGCTGACGAAGGATCAGATGCAGGTTTTACGGCACGAAGCTTCATTTAACATGGCTGACGCCAAACCTGTTAACATGATTGCAGCAGTGGAATCAATCCTTTGTCAGACGGAGGCAACGGAGGAGACTAAGAACCTCATCCGACACCAAGTGTCGTCTCTCCTGATGGCCCACAGGCCGCGGGAAGTGCTTTCCAATGTCGAACGTGATGCGCTTAGAGAACTCAAGGCCGACAAAGACCTGGTCATCGTGCCAGCGGACAAAGGACGCGCCACAGTTGTACTGGACAGGACAGACTACCTTCAAAAAGCCAAAGGTTTACTGGAAGACCGACAGTTCTATGTCCCATGCTCAACGCACCCTTTAAAGGCGCTGACACGCGACATTAATGCTACCTTGTTGGCCTTGGAGAACTCAGGTGCAATAACACCGACCGACAGACGCATGGCGAGACCCCAAGATACGGCTTTGGCCCGATTCTATGGCCTCTCTAAGGTGCACAAAGACGGCGCTCCTCTCCGACCCATCGTGTCGCTCAAAGGGACTCCAACGTACGGACTGGCTAAGTGGCTGTTCAGGCGTCTCAAGTTCCTGACCGCTGAGGGCGACACCTGGGTCTCTTTGTCAGCACAATTCCTGGAGAAAGTCAAAGGCGTTAGCCTCCATCCAAATGAGGTCATGGACAGGTCCGCCTGCTGTCCTCTCGTAGCCAGTGAAAAATTTACGAGTAAACGCGCTCGCGACTATACCCCTCAATGCAAGTTTATAATCACCCAGCCCAACAGATTTCGCATTTTCAGCTGAATACTACGCTTATTTTGCCACCCCGCCCCGCAACACCGCCTTGAATGCTTCCTTGCGAGAGTCTCGCAAATTTTGTACAGTTTAAAATGACAGCCGCCAGTTAATAAATCCACTATAGTGGTTTGTCTTTTGCAATATGGCCGGGGCCTAGAAGGCATTATTTTGTTGAATAAGATTTTGTTGAACTGAGGCCTAAATGTAGACGGTGAATTCCTTTCATCCGGAGCTAGATGAGAATCACATATATTGATATCAACATAATTGCAAACTCCCAGGCAGCAATCATCAAACATTTCCAAGACTGCCGAAGGTCCATACTTGGTGTAGCAAAGCAAAGATTTCATGTTTTTTATCATAGATATCATATGTACTTAAATAGGCATAAATAACATGAACATAAATGCGAACCATTTTTCCTACCTCATGGAATATTAAATGGAAATATGAAAATAGTTTTGGGTTAAGGCCGATTTTATGTGGGGTTGTCGCGTCGACAAATGTCCTGCATAGTGAAAGCATTATAAGATCACGTCAGATAAAATGAATTAACTAAGTTAAGTTATATGCAGCCATGCCGATGGCAATTTACTCGCTTTATTTTGAAGTCATATATTCAATATTTTCAGTAAAAATGGGTTTAATTAGTTATGAACAGTAAATAGCTTAATACATTATTCAAGAGTGAACATGATTAACATAAAAGGAACGATTATTAAAGGGACATTTCAAGTATTAGCTTCTGCATTTCTGTCTCTTTACGCGTAAAATAGCGTGCTAGGAACGGTAATACAGAATCTCAAAATGCTGATGTGCAGCCGGAGATAATTTGGAAGTCGCGGCGCATCGGGCGGGAAGGCTTCGCATAAATGAGATCAGAATGCAGGGATTGGACAAGGGCATTTATAATTCGACCAACAAATTGCTTGGCCGATTTGGAGGTTGTTGTAGGATAATATCCACTAAATAGAGATAAGAAACACCAGGGGCAAAAGAGAGCATTCTGTGGACTCGTCCTAAAATTGGCAATGCTTCTTCAAAGAAAACAGGAAAAATGACAGGAAAGCAGTGTAGGATAAGAGTAAGAATGCAGATGTTCGACAAAACCGCACCTGATAAACGCGTTCGCCTTCTGCTCGCTAGTATACATTGTCTACTTCATTGGGATAAATGACCTTGCATACCCTTCACAGTCATCTCAAAATCGGCTGCCGTTATGGACATCTAAGAAGAATGATGTTACTGTGACGTTTAAAATCGGATTTTTATTTAAATGTATTCGCCGGTCCCTTATAGGTAGCTTTCATGGGCAGACTTTTAGTTGGCTTGCAGCACCCGATGTCCATGCATCAAGCAATAAAGACAACTCCTTTCGCCCTTAGTCTATACATGACAAACGTCGAGCAGTACACTCATAAGTAAGTACTCAGTCTGGACGCAATAGTTTATGCGATAGGATGACCCAAGCCACTTATACCATCAAGCCCCCTTCCGCATAGGAAGAGGAGATTTCTGACGTCAGTAGAGAGGATACTGTATTCTGTACAGTAGAATTGGAAAATAATTAGGATTCGGTTGGTAGCTCTACGTCAGTACACATCCAGCACCTCAAGGGCGATAGCTTGAGTGACAGGTGGGAATGCTGTACAGCGACTAGAACGATGATTGGCCGGTTTAGACATCCGTGACTGGCCGACCAACTAGACTGCCAGGAGTGGAACCAATGCGGTTTCAAATACGGTGATATATTTCTGTCGCCAATGAAGGCTTACTGCATTAACTTGTGTAAAGCGGATGACTGGGGCTTTTAATGGCCAGGATGATTGGATCACTGGGTAGTAATATGAAACAGGCTAGAGCGTCACATATTCCA